GGGGTCGGGTCGTGGGGGTAGCAGCTTAAGTAGGGAGGCCCAGACTTCCCTCTCCCCAGCCACTTGGTCCAGCTCCTCCAGGGGAATCCCGAGGCGTTCCCAGGCCAGCCAAGATACATAGTCCCTCCAGCGTGTCCTGGGTCTCCTACTGGTGGGACGTGTCCGGAACACCTCACCAGGGAGGCATCCAGGAGGCATCCTAACCAGATGTACGAGCCACCTCAACTGGCTCCTGGCTCCTCTTGACGTGGAGAAGCAGCGGCTCTACTCTGAGTCCCTCCTGGATGATCGAGCTTCTCCCCCTGTCTCTAAGGGAGAGCCCACACACCCTGCGGAGAAAACTCATTTCGGCTGCTTGTATCCGAGATCTCGTTCTTTCGGTCACAAACCAAAGCTCATGACCATAGATGAGAGTAGGAATGTAGATCGATCGGTAAATTGAGAGCTTTGTCTTTAGACACAGCTCTCTCTTCACAACGACAGACCTGTACAGCGCCTGCTTCACTGCAGATGCTGCACCTATCCACCTATCGATCTCATGCTCCATTTTTCCCTCATTCATGAACAAGACCCCAAGATACTTGAACTCCTCCATTTGGGGCAGGACCTTCTCCTTGACCTGGAGAGGGCACTCTACCCTTTTCTGGCTTAAGACCATGGCCTCGGATTTGGAGGAACTGATCTTCATCCCGGCCGTGTCACACTCGGCTGCAAACCGCTCCAGCGAAAGCTGTAGATCATGACCTGATTAAGCTAATAGGACCACATCATCTGCAAAAAGCAGAGAAGCAATCCTAAGGCCACCAAAACGGATCCCCTCAACACCTTGGCTGTGCCTAGAAATTCTGTCCATAACAGTTGTGAACAGAATTGAGGACAAAGGGCAACCTTGGCGGAGTCCAACTCTCGCTGGGAATGAGCCCGACTTACTGCCGGAAATGTGGACCAAGCTCTGACACCGGTCATACAGGGACCTAACAGCCCGTATCAAAGGGCCTGGTACCCCATACTCCCAGAGTACCCCCCACAGGTAAAATCCAGTTAAAAATGTTATGGAGCTTTTAACATTTACAGTAAATATTTGTGTGAAAAGACTCCGAGAGTTTGTGGATCCTTCAGAGAGAAGAGGCTAAAGCAGTGGTGTAGCTTATATTTTTGTAGTGGGTATACTGTGGTTAGAAACCAAAGTATACTGGTTAGTACAATGTACTCATCAATTTATTTTGATTTTTAAGCATATTGAACATTTCCAAATATCTCTGATGCTTATATTTGAATAAATGAACAACAAACTTTGTACAATAGTTGGCTTCGTATTAAAAACATGTTATAGAATTTATAAAAGAGTATCAAAGCAAAACATGTTCAAGTAATAAGTAGTAAGTACAGAATTATACAATAACTTACTGGATGAGTGAATGTAATAAACAAGCGCTGCATAAGATACAGAAGCGCTTACTTGCCAGTTAATGTATCAATGACACATGCCTAATGATATGTCATGTATCACTGAGCACTTTTAAGTGGGAATACTGAAATTCTTAAGCTTTTCTAGTGGATATACTCCATACACCATGTACCGCATAGACTACACCACTGAGCTA